CAAATTGGGATGTGCTTTTCACCATTTCTGTTACTGATTAGGGGGAAAAAACCCTTTTTTTTGGTGAATCACATTGCTCTACTGTTTGGCTTCTGGCTGTTTGATTTAAGAGAATTGCAGTAACTAAAGTTAGTTAATGGAAATATATTTTAATTGCCTCTATTGTCAGTATCCCCAAATAGCCTTATCAAAGTTTTACTTGCCCTAGGAATAATGGATTCTAAAATCAATGCTATTTCATATAGGTTTAAAATATGTACAATTAATAAAAATGCAAGGGGAAAAATGGGTAAGATGGCAGATGTCATTGACAGGGATAATGTGTGTTCCAAACACTTGTGTCTATCTTGTCAGGGTATAGTTGCAATGGTGTTTGTGTTCTGGAAGGGGTCCAAGACGTTGCACAACAGCGGTGTGTACCTGAAGGAGGAAGGAGGTCAATAACATTTACTGAAGCTGAACCATTTACATACTTGGGTTTTTTTTTTTCCTTCCATGCTCCTCTTATCCTTCACCGTAGGACTTGAAAAGAAAGTATTAGGATATTGTGTAAATACAAGTACGCTATCATTGGCAACAGAATAGTGCTTTTTTTGATCAGTAGATTAAGTTAAGTAGTCCTGGCTGCTACTGACTTCCCAAGTGCATGTCTGACTTTTATCTTTCAGGATATTGCTTCTTCCTGTTTGTTACAGTTTGGCAAGCTTGTAAATGCTCTGTTTAGGTAAACTACCTGTTCAGTTTGAAGTAATGTGACTAAGCCAGTTTTGATTTGTGTCCTTGGGAGCCTGCAGAAAATGAAGTCCAGAACTGGCAAGTAGTTTACAAGTCTCAATCTGTAACATATGATTATTTTTCCCATTTTTTTTTTTCTTTTTTAAATCCTTGTCCTTCCTACTGGGGAGGTGCGGTAGTACTGTTGTAGCACACCTCTGTCCAAAACTCGTGTTCAGCTGAGCTGGATTTGGGACCTTCTTTTTCTTGCAGAAATCAAGGGGCCAGCACTCTCATTCTGGGGAGGGGTGACTGGTCCTGGGGACATGGTCAGGGAGCCAAGTGTAGAACCACAGAGTTGGGCAGAACCAGGTACAAGCCCGAGTGCTGGAGGGGGGAGACTGAAACGCCTGCAGAGTTGAACACAAAGTAGCTGAAGAGGGAGATGAGAGAGTCTGGAGCTTGGAGGCAGTTTTTAACCTTTAGTTCGACTGTATCTACAGAACTGCTGGCACAGTATGAACCAGCATTTATGCAACAGCGATGGCCCGTATACCTCATAGTTCATTCTGTGGAAAGCACGTGGGGTTGGCAGAGTCTGAAATACAGTGGGTGTGAGGATGCGGTTGGGAGAGCACTCCGAAAAGGCACTGGGGAGTGCTGGGGCTTCCTACAGCCTTCAAGGAAAGAGCTTTGATCAGATGAGCTAGATGAGAGCACTTGGCCTGGAGGCTGGCACCCTTCAGCCTTTGCAAATGCTTTACGGTAGCGTGCCCTTAGAGTGGGTCTTCTCTGTTGTCCCGTGTCCAGGGTTGAGAGTGAAATGGGATACAAAAGCAGTAGGGATTTTTCAGCCGTGGTTGGTTTTTTGGTGTGTAAGTAAGCGATACTTTCTGACAAACGAGCTGTTCTGTTTGAGAGGAAGGAAAGGAAGGGTGGTGCTTGACTAGAGAGAGGGCTAACACAATTAGGGTAAGCTTTAACTTCAGTATTAACTTACGAATGTGCTGAAGACTGTTCTCTTAAAGTGCAGACAGATGTTCCAGAAGGTTTGCTCTGAGAAGCCTGGATGGAGCTGAAATCAGATTCAAGATGTTAATGAAGGGAAGAACTAGAGAATGTGAACTTGCAGAAGTAGGGCTGGAGCAAGCCACAGGGAAGAAAAAAATTCTCCTTTACAACAGTCAGTCCCATCTGCTTTTAGGATTAATAATATCTAGAATATAGACCATAAGGGGAAAAAACTCCTTGTCAACATTCAGACCCATAAAGCTCAAGCGAACATAAAAGTTCTGTATTTCATTGGGGTGTTTTCTTCCTCAAGTTGCCTGGTTCTAGACTAAAAAAAGGGGAAAAACTCCAATTATTTCTACTGTGCATCTTCAGGAAGATACAGAGCTAGCAGTGTTATAATCATTGCAAAAGAATTTAAAGAAAAGTTCCGTATCCTCCAGAACCTTTTAACTTTTTAATACATACTTTCCTGTAACATACCTTGAGAGCTCCAGTGCCTAAGTTCTTCAGCAAAGAGGTGTGGTTTGAGCCTAGTAGTGGGGAAAGATACAGAGCTAGCAGTGTTATAATCATTGCAAAAGAATTTAAAGAAAAGTTCCGTATCCTCCAGAACCTTTTAACTTTTTAATACATACTTTCCTGTAACATACCTTGAGAGCTCCAGTGCCCAAGTTCTTCAGCAAAAGAGGTGTGGTTTGAGCCTAATAGTGGGGAAATCTACCCAAAATGTCCTGAAAGACATTAACGTGTGTTCTTCCCTGTTGTCTGCAAGCCACCTGTAGCTCTGTTCTTTGACAAATTCTGAAATGGACTCCTCCTGTTTCCCATCTCGGTGAAAGGCAGATGAGGTAAAGTCAGGCCTGCCTGGCTCCAATCTCCTGACTGACAGTTGCAGTACAGCCAGGAAACGGTTTCAGGAGGCTGCAGGCGTTGCAGACGCCTCTTCTGCATGAACTCTGTGTGTGAAGGGTACAATAAAATTGGAACGTCGCTGTTTCCGTCAGCTTTTGCACACTGAGTATCTCTCTGAAGAGATTCATCTTTCGTCCCTTCGTTAAAAAAAGAAGCTGGAGAGGTACCTGGAGGGCCTTTTCTTGCTCCACCAACTTCCAGAGATTGTGAAAGATTTCCTAAGTTTTAGGCAGACTTTGCCCAGCGTAAGCAAGACAGTCTGTAGCACAGGTGGAAGTAGAAAATAGGTTCCTGCTGGTTAGTTAAGTCAGTGGTTTGGTTAGAAGGGTGTCTCTCTTCCTCAGAGACTAACGGTCCTCTTTGCTGGGGTTTTAGTCCATCTGCTGGTGACTGAATAAAAAAATGTTCCCACAATGTAAATTTAAATCAGGTTTGTGAAGCTTCTAATTTTAAGCCCCAGAATTTCATGCAAGTGTGGACTGAATTTGCCCTTCCTAGTGTATGTTAGGAGTGCATGTTTTCTTTGGTGTGTTTCATGCTTGTGTTTCACCGCTGATGACATTGGGGAGCTCTGGTTCCGTGGCTGAAAATCAAGGAATGTAGCTCCTCTACACGTGCTGCAGGGAAGTCTTCAGGGTCACCTGGGAATGTTCAGCTGTCAGCATGATCCCGGTGCCAGAAAAATATTGTGTTCATTTCATGATTGTAACTTTTTTTAAAAAACAAACCAACCTAGAAAAAAAACCCTCTGCATAATTAGAATTTTGACTACTTGTCATGAATTTTGCAGCCGTTTCAGCCTAAACCAGTAGCAATATATGCACTTGTTACTTCCTGGAGTTTAAAAGTGGTGATGAGGTGAGGGCAGACCCAGAAACAGATAGGGCCCTTGTGAAAAGAATTCCCACTCTAACACTTCATGTTGACTTGGAAAGAAAAATGATTGGGAAAATCTCCCAAAATTGAGTGAATTAAATCTATCCCTGTCGTGGTTACAAGTCTGGCATGGCAGGGCATGTTCAACCTCAAACCCTTCATTTGTTTTAAGGAATTTTCCATTCAAGGGACCTGAATTCCTGGTAGCAAGAAACTGGGAACAACACAAGGGAAAAAATACACTTAAACAGAGGAGGACTGTTACAAAATAATGTATTGTTATTATTACAGGCATCACATCTCCAGAAGAACCTGGGGGAAGGATTTTTTTTTTGTGTGTGTGTGAAAATCAATATTGATGTAAAAGGCAGGATAGATTGATGTATGCATTGTATTTTTCTGTTTCTCCTCAGGCTTATTCCTGAAATACTTCTATATAATCCTGTTCTCCCATTGTAAACCAGTGTGTTGAGGTAAAAAGTATGTTTGATATGTTGAAGAAGTGTTTGGCTGTTCAATCATGAAGACATAGTACAAAGTCTAATCCCTTCCCAGGGATCTCCCATCTGAAAGACAGGGAGAAAAGATGCTAAGACACTATTCATCCTGAAACAGGAAAAAGCAGTAAGAGGTTTAGTCCATTCCTCAACAAGGAAATGCTTCTCTGTCCTAGCAAGCAGACGAAGAAATCTTTATTATCCCCTTTTATCACAAAGAAATCATAAAGACTGTTTTGATCTCTCTCAGGACAAAACCATATGGAACGAAAGCTGCGTAAGGTAGAAAATAACAGCGACTGCTGAAGCCCGTGGGGCTCAGCAGATCAGTGGGCAGAGTGGGACAGGCTGGTGCAGAACAGCCAGAGCTGGCTCTTCTCCCAGCATCACAGCCCCTCAGCACCCTGTACCTGCCACAACCCTGGTGGAGTACGGGCTGTAGCCACAGCAGTATCCATTCACCTGTTCCGCTCCAGTCCTTTTGGCTCTGCTCCTTTCCTCTGGCTGCCCAAGTGTCCCTGAGCTTTCCTCACGCGGATGCCGAATCCTCCACCATCAATAACCTAGCAGCTGTCAGCTCACTGAACAGCCCAGGCCTGCAAATCAAAAATCTACAACTCCAAATTGGCCTGTAACGGCCATTTCAAAGCTATCTGACTTGCAGCAGGGAAAAAGCCCCCAAAGATTTCTCTTCATTACACTTTCAGACAGGAAAAGTTAAAGACAGGTACCCCGAGATCAAGCTCAATAGTGTCTTCATGCCAAAAAGGAGGAAATGCTGTTGTACCATTTACATGAGCTGGGGACAGGAATATTGGTTGTCCACAAAGTGAAAGAACTAAGAGTGTAAGTACCAGCAGGAAAACCATCAGCATATTCTCAGCTGCCTGATCATCCTTCAGAATGAGGTGAACGAGGAAAAACCACATTTATTTTGTTTACAACTGAACACCCTGAAACATCACACAAGTATGAACCATGCTGCTATTTTTCATCTTGTACTTTCTTCCACTCTAAATGCAGCTTAAAAAGAATATTTCTACACATGCACACAGAACACTGATTTTTTGTTGCAGGCAGGTACTTCAATTAAAAAAAAAATCATGCGTAGGCAAGTAGTTTTCATGGATTTTAATTTTAAATAATTTTCAAGAGTAATACAAAAGTTACAAGTTTGTCTGTTCAGACTAATCGTTTGTGTTTCCCCCCCCCAATTCTGCAGTGGAGTCCCTTGCTGCATCTTTCAGGTAACGTCGTTTAGAAAGCACTTCAAATGACACAATTTAAGCTTATGTTTTCCAGAAGAGAGGGTTCTGTGTGAGACGTCTCTGGAAGTTCTCATACCTAGAAAAAAATTTAAAAAAAAAAAGCTGCTGCAAATAAAATGGCTTAAAAATGATACAAATAATTTAGTCTATGCAGAGAACATGATAAGTTACAGCTACTCCACACCAGGAAACGAGTAAATCCAAAATTCTCCTTTCTGATTCCATATCCAGAATATTCACAGCAAGACTTGTGTATTTCAACAACAATATGTATTTCATTAAAGCGGTGTCCCAGGGAATGCTCATTCAAGCTTAGTAAATTTGTAAGTGAATTAAAAGTGGCTATTTTGTGCATAACATTTTTGGGGCTAGGAAATCAAAGCGAGCGTGAGGCTGCCCATCATCCTAGTAACCTGGCCAGGTACCTCACAGAAGAAACCCCAGCAAAACCAAACCAAGAAAACCTCGCGCCACTCAGGGAGACTGGGAAAAATACTGGGAAAAACAAGGTAACACCAGTGCTGCCGAATCCAGTCCAGCTGTCCCTGTACCACCCCGTCAGCGCTGCTCCGACTCGGAGGCAGAACGCCAGCTGAGCACGTCTCGGTGCACGGGACAGTGAACGGGAGCTGACAAGCTTGACAGGCTGGAGCAGGGCTGCAGGGTGACCACAGCCTCCGAGTCGGGATTGCTTCCGAGTTGGGATTTCTTCATGTAACCTGCTCACAGGTAAGGAAGAGGGGAGCGATGCATTGATTTGCCTTGTAGTTCTAATGGAAACCTTGAGACAAAGTCGGCCCCATCACTTTTCCACCATCACCAAATAATTCTAACTTCCACATTTTTTATATAGGGTAATGTTTTAGTAAAATCTAACAAGGAAAATAATTCTCTAACACATAATGGAAACATGTATGCACACATGCTGTCTTAATTTCACTTTCCATACTCTCAGAAACAAGCAAGCCACAAACAAACTGAATATCAGAATTCATTATTGACCTACAGTGAAAAAATAGGGAAAGTATACAATTTCTGTGATTTAAAAAAACCAAACAAACAACAGTCTACAGGCTTTGAGCTACAAAAGCCTGAAAACACTTTCAGTCCCCACAAACCCAAGCTGAAAGGTGTCAAAAGGTACTGCCAATGAAACAAAACAAACAAAGAATGTTGTCCTTCATCTCTTAGTTCCTAATGCAACTCAAATGAGAAAAGACTCAAACCACTGAATTTCCATTGCAGCCAGCCCCTTGCAGAGACCTAAGATACTCCACATATTACAAGTTACAATTAAGCACATCATAATGACTCACAAACATATGAACAGACCCAAAACAATGTTGGTTTTTTTGTGGCTGTAATCACATTAACAGATTCCTACACACAAATGTGTTCAGTTTATTAGAGTTACACCTCACATCGCTACCTGGTTTTGAACAACAGCCAAAAGTAAATTCAGCATTAGCCAGGCAACGACCAGCCACTACCCTGCCCCTTCCCTTGGGCTCCTCTCATCAGAGACCTTACCCACATACGTTCATGGAGTGTGCAGAGAAGACATCTGTATCATGGCACACTCCTAAAGAAAATATATTGCTTATCTTAACTGCTTGCGTATTGATGAGATCTGTACTAACGATAAAACAGTATTCAAAATACTGTTTTAAAAAAGGGTTTAGGTTAATACTGTAGATGCTGAAGAGGGCTAAACTGATAAACTGTAAGAAAGAATTTTTCAGATATCCTAAAGGACTACCTACAGTTCACAGCTTATGTCCAGACCACACGGGCTACCCCCACAGACAGTTATTTCTTAAACCAGCTCCTGGAAAACAACTGTCAGAGAGATTTTTGTTATTTGTGCTCAAGGGTCTTGGTGACAGAACGAGGCCAACGAGGAACATGATTTCTTCATCTCTCCTATGTTCTTAAGCAATGTAACTATGCCAGAACTATGGCTAGGAAGAGACCAAGCCTAACAATAAGCACAAATTGACAGGAATCGGTGTGTTCTGTCTTCCCATGTCTCCAGAGCATTTGTATAATCAGCAACATAGTGGAAATCCACATATGTCAAGGGTGACATTTCTAGAATCAAAAAAAGTTTCATAGGTTGCATAGCACTTTCCTAATAAAAAACTAGATATGAAGATGCTGACAAATAAATACAAAACCAGTGAATAGAACCTCTCTATACTTGAGATAGATACACAACAACAAACGCTTTTAAATGGTTTTGCATCATTTCACTGAATAGCATTGGCAGTAGTTCAATACTTAGAAATCAGCTGGTTTAACGCCTCGAGAAAAGGAACACTTGTTAGTAGAGATCATTGCCATTACCATTTCAGAACTACATTTGCAGGAATGAAAGCTTCAGAAGGATTTGGGGTCATCTGTGCCTGAGTGACAGCAAATGAGGAAGCAAAGTTATAGAAGTTATCCAACATCTTCTGAGTGAACTGAAATTAAAAAAAAAAAAAAAGACATTAAGTAAGTTCTTTTTTCAATTTGAATTCTTGTGCAACAGTTTAACAGACACACAACTCCTATATGAAGTAAAATCAACATTGTCATCTAAAACACAATGGGAAAGTAGATATATTAGGTTGAGGGATGTCTGTTTCAAATTGATCAAAACATCCTAGCTCTCAGAGCCATCCACCATCCAGAAATCATTTTCAGAATCTTCACTCGTTCTCTCCCGGCCTAATTTCATCCAACTGGATAAACAGCTTTGAGAAGAACATTTTCTTTTTGTGACAAAAAAGCGATGGAGTGACATGAGCTGTCCCCATCCTCCAAATTAAACTATCAGAAGAACTGTAGGCCAGGTCAAAGCTGCCATTCCAGCTCATAGCAAAACACTAATTGTTAAACCAGCTGAAAAACCTGCAATCTGCCTCATTACAACTTGTCAGACTCCAGTGACAGGGAAATTTCCTTTAGCTTTCACCACAGAAGAGCTGCTGGCATCCTCTGGCACAAGATCTTGCTGGGGAAAAAATGAAAAAGACGCATAGGAAACTCCTAAACTGTAGGAATAAGGAAATAAAATAGTGAAGGAGAAGCCAAGAAGTAGCAAGCCCTGTGTGCAGAGAATGAGGCTGTAGGATATTCCCAGCCAGTCTACAAATAAATAAGCCTATGGCACCTCCTTCTTTCCCCTATTCTTTTTATTTTTTAAAAAAGTATGCATTGTTTCAATGGGAGAACAAACCATTTTCATAGACAGTGAAATGACAGAGGAAAACAGAGCCTGGGGCAATATACATGCACACTCTTGTGCCTCTCTCCACCTGCTCTGACAAAAGGAGTGAAGAACTCACGTCCCAAAAGCCAGGAGCCTACCCTCAGTCTCACCTCACTCACACAGAGAACTCTCTGGGTTTGTCCCACTTTTTTTCCATACAACTTTTTAATAATATAACTACATATAAAAAAATTATATGTACAACCATAAAGCTGTGTAAAACTTATTAAAATGTAGTGGGAGAGCAGCCTCTTAGAGTAGCAAAATATTATTTTGCCTTAAAAAAAAAAAAATCCTTTTACTGCTATAATGTAGCAATTCCAAAGACATGATGTCAAATTTTAAATAAAAGCCATTAGTCATTCATAAACATGCTCCTGGTCATATCCCCTTCCTCTGCTATCTACTCCCTCAAAGGTTTCCTTCAGCTATGACTTTGTACATTTTCTCTGTAGGAGTAACTGTTACTTCAACCTTTGGCTCAGCTGCAGTCCTTGAAAGCAACATACAGTTTCAGTTAAGATGCTACTCTTTATTAATAGAGAATCCACCTAACTGGAAATAACATTTGTAAAAAAGTTATGCACTTATGAGGGTTTTGCTTTGGTTCCCCCCCCGCCCCCTCTAAATACTCCTGCCAGAAGAAACCACCAGCCACCCTGCAAATGACCTCAAGTGGCACATTATTACCTCACGACTTAACTACTGCTATAATAAAAGTTGGTGGAATCAGAAATATTATTTAGATATCATTTGCCCCTAACAACTCCAGAAAAGCTCAATTAACCATATTATATAAAAATAGCTGTCAGTCAACTCTAGTTGTGGTAACTTTCTTGAAGAGACATTACCTACTTGGAGCTACTATGTGTATAAACCGCCAAAGGACATCGGCTACAGTATCAGGATTGCTGTTCAGTTACTAATTTACCTCAGCAAGTGCCTGCAAGGAAAGCAAGCAAGGAGGGGAAAAAAAAACCCACAAACCCTCAAGAAAAGCCTCACCAGCTGCTGAAGTGTTAAAAGATAATGCCAGAGCCATCAGCATCAGGGAAATCAATACCTGCCATGCAGATCTAGCTTGCCTTGAACTGCTATTAGATGGCCAACTAACTGCCAGTGCTGACTGAGGACTTCCAGAGGTTCAAACTAACAGACAGGCTGGGTAAAAAATGGCAAGGCTTGCTGCCCAAGGCCTGGTCCACAGGGAAAGAACTGGAAAAAAAAAAGAAATACATCTTTCTGTGAGAGAGGGCATGATTCTGCAGTTCTGCAGAACTGCATCTGAAGGATTTCTCAAGGGTCAGTGGTACACTTGGATATCTATCTGCATCCACACCCGTGTCTGCCTTGACTTTAGAGTAATTTTTTGACCATTCCTGCAAATCTATGCACTGGAGTTCTGGCACCTACAAATCACCAAAGATTCACTGTCTCTTACATGCATTTAGTAGTAGCTGCTCCTATGAGGAAGGATCATAAATATTTTTACAGTAGAGTCACATCAATACAAGTGAGTCTATTGGCTTGATTCCACTGAGCATGCAAAATCCAATCTTTTACAGGAGACATAGTCTTCCAGTGTAAGAAAAAGTCATTTCAAAATATCAAAGCATCCACCCAAATGATGTGACAACAATTAGGTTGGTTACAATCCTGCAGCTTCCCCCTCGCCCCCCCCATTAGTTCTTCAGAGGCTCAATTCTTCAGACTTTCGTAGCACAGAGAATTTCTGAAAACAAAATGGCCAAGCTACCTCTGTGAATGAATCCACTGATGACACAGCAGCACTTGCCACAGGAGTCTGCTGGGCCAGGTTCTCCAGCAGTTCCACTGAGATTCCAATCTGGGCCACCGTTGGTGTCTGAGGGAGGTTCATAGCACCAAAGGGATGTTGACTTCCCTTCCCTGAAAGGGCCACGAACAGCACACGTTAGATTTGGCACATATGTAAAAGACTCTGTAACTTAAATCACCATGTTTCTTCTGTCAGAGGTATTCCTCAACTCCCACCAGAGAGATCTCCCTGTCTCAAACACAGAAAAATCATGCAGTCCAAGCACAGGCACAATGAAACAGTATGACAGGTACATTTAAAAAACACAGCAGATTGTAAGGAAATTTCTAAAAAAAAAAAAAAAAAAAAAGAAAAATGTAATTTTAAAGCTCCCTATGAAGTACATGGATTAAACAGAAAATACGATCTCTGAGAAAAGACAGCAGAACCTTTCTCTATAGGAATCAAGCCTTTAACTCACATTGTTACAATTGCAGAGAAAGAGGAAATATTCAGTACTGCTGCACAGTTATTTGATTCACTCATTCAAAACCAGGTTCTTCTGAACCTGTTTGTGCTCTGAAAAATAGAGAATGGTACTTTAAGATCCCTCTGATCCGAAGCTGTCCCTGTAGAGGGCTGGGCAGCCCCAGATGTCATCTGAACTGCTCAAAACCACGAACAGCAGCAAAGGTCAAAGAAACAGCCATGGAACAGAAAGGCCTCTGACTTTGCAAGAGCCACAAAGAAAACAAGGAATCGGGCAGAAAACCACCCCCAAATTGCATACCATTCATACAGGTATTATCCCAGCCCTCTGCCATCACTTCTGACCTTTCTCAACTGAGTATTAACCAGTACTTTCAGTCCCAGCTTCAGCCAGGGTCTCTGCAAACAATAACAGACACCTAGAGTCACTGAAATCATGCACTCCTCTTTGTCAGCATCTGTAAAGGAAAATAAACACATACTAATACTCCACCTAAGTTTGAGCAAACACATTAGACAAGTACTCTCTTAACACAGAAGTGATGTTTCAATAGCACTTTCTGGCCTCTTACTAGCAGGAGAAAGCAAAGCTAATCAAGAGCTGTCCTACAAATGAGTCAACACTAACCTGAGTTGCAGGAAAGGCTAACTAGAAATCTAAAGCACCATCTGACTTAGTTCCATGGTCAAAAACTGAGCCAGCAAAACCAGCACAAATTTGAGAAGCTGAACTGAGGCTCAAGACTAAAGATCTCAAACTTTACCATTTTTCTGCAGAGACACAAGGCACTACCGCAAAGAAGCCAACATCCAACCCACATGGAAAGCACATTCACAAACCCAGCACCCTTTTCAGCTGAAGCCGAGTGTCACTCTTCACTCCAGATCCTACAACTGCAAAATAGCACTACATCTACAAGTAAAGCACTCTCTACAAAAATGTTACTTTAACACAAGGCCAATAAGAAGAGAGTTCATCTCCTGAAGTGCTATCTAGAAGCTCTTCTGAGAAAAGCCACTGCTGTATGATCTCAACCTTTACTGTAGATAGTTGCTTGCTTAATAAAGGTAAAATTTATTAAAGTATTAAGAAAGAAACAGAAAAGCTATTAGAAACCAAATATCACTCAATAAAATCCCAATAGCAATAGGACTGGTAGAAGTTTCACATCTTGTAACATCTTCACCTGAGAAGCTGACATTTACAATAAAATATATCATCATCAAGCAACAGGCTCCATCAGAAAATATCGCTACTTTAGAAAGACACTCACAAATAATAAAATACATCCATCCTGTCACTTTGCATGCACTCCCACGGAACCACTCCCTTGGAAAGATGTCTGGCTAAAAGGGTGACAGAAAAGCATCCCCCACCACCCTTACACCAACTGGAATACCCTTCACATTTCCAATGCTTGGCTCTTGCAAGGAGCATTCCAAACTTTACAAATAGAGAGAACACAGTATGTTAATCAGTACTGAAATACAAGCTCAGGTTTTCACATTCAGACCCTACACTCTCCAACGTACTATGTCATAGCAGAGCAACTGCAATCAGAAACGTATTTTTTCTACCCCTTTCTTTCGCTTCATTGAAGTCTTGATTCAAGGTAGCGAGCACTCATTACCTTTCAGCCCAACCATATCAAAAACCCTACCCATGTGTAAGCCTCAGATGCAGGCATTACATTAGAGGGTATATCTGTGAGTGGAAAGCAGCATCAGACACATCATTGCATGCTGCACAGCAGAAAAAGTTCGTAATGGAAAAGGCTATCCTGTAACTTTTATCCCGCTTGTCAACATACTCCCAGTAAGGGTGCAAAATCCCAGCCCAAGGTTTGTTTTCTATTTCTACCAGACTTTCAGGCACAACTGAAAAATAAAAACCCTTAAAATCCCAAGGCAAGGACTATTTCTAAGCCCCTTCTTCATGCACAATCAAATGAAATTCATCTACTCTCAATCAGCAAAACATCACACAGTGAGAGAAGAATATAAAATTGCATGTGTTAAAGTGTTACCAGTCATTGTTCTTCTCCAGATCTGAAAGTACAGACAAACCAGTAACAGTGACGACTGCCAGCAACGGCACTCTTCTAAAGCTTGGTGCTCTAGGCCCGAACTGCTCCTCTGCAGCGTATCTTCCTCCTTTGAAAAGGAAGGCCAGCAAAACATTCTATCTACAGCATTTTCCAAAGCAACCTGAATACAACATCTGTGGCAAAACCCAGCAGAACCTATGTCTTGCCTTCCAAGAGCAGCCATGCTCTACAAGGGCATCAGGAGCCCAAGCAAAAAACTTCAACTTTTCAGTTGCACCATCAGAACTGACCACAATCCCTTGTGTCGCGTGATAAAGCTCACAGCGATTCCATCAGCGATGACAGTGACCTTAATGAATTAAAACAGTTAGCACTACTAGCGCAGCTCCAACAGGTACCAAGGGATCTTACTAGAACATTTATTACAGCTGCAGTTTATTACACAAGTGCAGAAATTGCACAATTTCAAGAGATCGACTCAGCCTCTTTCATAAAGGTGTATTGCTACTTTATTCCTCTTGGCACTAAAGAAGCCACTCAGCTTTGTTAAAGCCAGAAATATTCTATTCTACCTTGACTACAGGCTGTTAAACATTTCACCTGTAATGAAAAATCCAGAAGTGGGAAGACTAACAGCCTGAAAGAATACACATTGACTGTCATCCCGCTGGGGGGTGAGGAAATGACCAGAAAAACCCAAAACCTCGCAAACACACATTATTCAGCTTTTAGCACGAAATTTAACTTCCAATTTTGTTGGGGGGGGGGCGAGGACAGTTGATTAAATAATCTAATTTCCAGCAAACACGAAGATTGTATATGAAGAGGAAAAACTAATTCAGATTTAATGCTTATTGCAAAGCCAGTCACCATCTTACATGATAGCTAATCCTCAAAAAGAAATATGTAATAATGCTGGACACTTCGGGCCTTTGACTCCTAGACTTATAATCAGTATTAACAGATGCAAGACTTCACTTGCTAAATCAAAGGGTCAAAACAACAACAAAAAAAGCAAACACAAAAACACACAAACACCACAAGCACTTATAGTTCTAGCCTCACAGCATAGCTTTTAAGAATGGTTAAAAGTTAGCAAGAAGAACAACAGAAAAGCCTGCTTTTAGCTATATTGTTTGTACCAAGACTACTAAGAAATACAATTCAACAAACTCTTCCTCATTAGAGAGGAGCTCTAAAGGAGTCTTTTAGAGGGTCCTACAGGTCTTGAACATGCCTCACAGGAATGTCAATCTGGAAATCTCTTATTCAAAGAGGGTTATCTGAGCTTAAATAACACCTGTAGTGAAGGAAAAAGCGTCCAGGTTCATAATTTAGTCTCGTCTCTACAAATCACTTTCACATTGAAGACTCTATTCCACAAAAGCAATTTCCCATTTAGTTCATCTATTGAGACAACCTCCTGGTATCCCCCTTGGAAACACTGCAACATTGACCTGTGTTGGCTTTCCTAAGTGAGCACGGGACAGGAAGCAGAGAAGCAAACAAAAAAACCTGGGGCAATGCCATTTTAATTGACCCTCATAGTCCAGAAATCTAATACCACATCCCCAGATATTGTATTTAACAGCCCAGCCAGTCCTTACAACAATGTGCAACGTGGGCAAGTTACACACATCACAAAACCTGTGCAGTTCCAGCGCATTTCAGACACTAAACATAAACTTAATGTAAGAGTTACAAATGATACATTTAACCTTTCCGAGAGTCTGTGTAATAAAACACTATGTCACCTCAGCTGGCCACTCACGTCCACATAAGAAACAAGCTGTCCCTCTTCATCACACAGCAGGAAACTCTGCTACAACCACTGCTTCACAGGGAGCTGACAAACAGGGACACACACTGGTTCTTCTCAACAAGGGATTAAACCCAAAATGCGGATTTAAGTCAGTAATATCTCTCAACGATTCCAGCTCTCTGTAATCCCTCTCTGGTCTCCCCTTTCTACAGCCTCAGTCTTCTCCATCATACAATTGCTTATGGTCACGCAAACTAAGGCTGTGTAGGTTATACTGACTCTACAGTCAGAGATCAGCTGTAGGCAACCACGGGAACGACAGGTCTCTGTTGTTCAGATCAAGCACAGCACTGCCTCATGGCATTACAAATGCAGTCAACCAAGTCACAGAGTTCTTCCCTGAGAGCAGCTCTTGCTTGGAAATTATGGCTAATCATGCAAAAAGCATCTGAAAATGTTTTCATACAAAGCTGTCTAAAAGCATGTATAATAGGGTAAGTCTTTCAAGCGTGAGAAACATACGGCAAAGGCTGGTGAAAGAACCAGCAATACGCTTTACCGTTTCACTAACACCACAACTTTGGAATATATAAAACCATGTCCCCCCCAGCCTTCCTGTGACTGTTCCCTCTTCTGAGAGGATTTTTGAGGAACATACATGATCAGAATTCATTTTGCTCTGCACCTTAAGAGACCTTATCTCTTGTCACACTGCCATACGGGACCGATACAAAAGCAAGCATGCCACATTACGAATTAATATGTTTTATCATAGCAACCTCAACACTTACCTAAACAGAGGTTCAAGCTAAGGCTGTACACTACACTGAAGTCTATAAAAGATGTGTATTACTTTATGACCATAACACTTTAAGCTGTTTGACTGACATGACTATCCCTTTAATGAGACAAAGGTGTGTCATTGGGGCCCTTCGTTTTTATAATATACATGGCAAAACCCCCATATATTTAGGAAAACTCACCTACACCTACTTCAGGTAGCACTAGCATTCTCTGCCCCCCATACGAATCAGATTTCTCTGACTCGGGTCTATATCAAAAACACTAAAACATTTGGAAAGCTGCTTTCCAATGACGACACCCTCTACTGGACAGTCACATAGAGCAACTGCACCCGAACGCTGCCGTCTGAAATCACTGCGTCAGACTTTACTCATTAAAAACCTGTCTCTCTGCTATGAAGAATACAACCACTTAACAGTGGTAGGTGAAAGAGAATACTGCAGGCATGTCTAGACAGATGCCTAAGAACCACGCGATGGAAGTTTCAGGGTCATTCTTCCTCAGGTTCTCTACAAAGAAACACTGGTGTACATGCCAAGCCTGCTCAAAGGAATTTCCAGATCAACACCACATACAAAAGAAGATAAGTGAGAAATTTTGCTAGGAACATTAACATACAGACAGACTGCCATGAAGCTGACAGACTGCTTCCAGTACCACATCTGCTCAGGACTGTCTGAAAATACACAGCGGTCTGCCTTTTCAAGTAGCCTTTTGTTCAAAATCACCTTCAAACATTTATCCCCTTATGCATGCAGGAACACATTTGTTACACCGACTGCTACATTTCACCATTCTTACCAGATTTCAGACCAGAAATTTTGAAGATGGCACTTGGCTTCTCATTAGTGACAAACCCCAGCAGCTGCCACACAGCCATCCCACTCTGGTCTGGATAACAAAAATAGACAGATCCTCCCATTCCTTCTGGGAATGGTATAGTTCCCAGCATGAAGACCACCACATGGTTGATGTTTTCATAGTCTGGTAAATCAAATACAAATTTGTCTTCAGCCACTTGTTGGGGAGCTGCTTGTACCTAAAGACAACAAAACTTTTATTAGTATTACTATGTTTTGCATCTTTGACTGTAACTGTGAATTTCCTTTTATAGAAATACACCTAATATGGAACATAACAAAAAGTGAGGCATGTACTAACCTAAATAGCAAATAGCCAGATAAAAGTCAAACACAGCAGAACAACTGCAAAAGATATTTCCAAAAAGGCACAACAGTCTTGTTCTACCTGCACTGAACACATATCCCACCCAGGACTACAGGATCAGAATACCTTCACTCCCCACGTGCGTAGGGGGAAAATAGGGTGCAGAAGAGGTTGCCAAGTCTATAAGCAGTGGTTGTTGACCACCTGGCTGGCACAACCCCAGGATCATGGAAACCTGTTCACATAGGAAATACAATAAACCTTGAGACAGGCAGTAGAAGGATGGCTAAATGCCATAATAAAAGATAATCTCCTCTTTACCCGAGATGCCACATCCTTGCAGCCAACGCACAATCTGGCCTTAAACAGCTTCTTTCAAGCTCGCAGCTTGTCTCCGAGGAGCCCAA